GGGGGTTCAGGACCTGATGCTGGTGTCGGTAGTGCTGGACTGCAGGCAATGCCAGTTTCAGTCAAGGGAGGTCCCGAAAACGCAAAAGCATCGTTGGGTGCACAAACAGGAAACAGCACCAACCAGCAAAGTGTGGTCACATCACCACCTGAAAGCCCAATCAGAGCAGAAGGGCAAGCAGAAGATGAGGATGAGGATGCGGATGGGGAAGAAATACCACCAACACCACTACCTGAAGGAGGAGGAGGAGGAGGAAAGTCACAAGCCGCTGATGGAAAAATGAAAATTATAAATGAAAGTGAACCAAAACCTGAAAAACAACGCCAAGTCAAAAGTGGAACACAAAACCAGTCAGAAAAAGAGACAGAACCAAATGCCCAAGTGCAAGCAACCAAAAAAAGAAAAAGAGGGAAGTGGACTAAAGCCGAATAATCACCAAACTCCAGTCCAAGAAGAGGATGGAATAAATGGAGAAGGACATCAAGTGACGCAGGGAAAAGAACAACAAACAAATGTTGAAGCAAAAACACCAATTAATCCTGCAGGAGACTATTCTTCGGGACAACACAAAGGCAATGATGGTTCCAATGAAGAAGAAGAAGGGGAAGAAAAGGATGATGAAACAGAAAAGGAGCGAGAGGAACAAAATCAAGAGAATCCTCCAGGCAAAGAACAAGAAACCAAAACTGGTGCAAACGCCACTAATCAACCAAACACGATGCCTGGCGACAATGACGGCAGCACCGCGGTCTCCCACACCGCCTCCCCTCTTTTGCTTCTTCTTGTTGTTGCGTGTGCTGCTGCTGCGGTGGTGGCCGCGTGAGAGTGAGGGAGAGCCGTGCACCGCCCGCACACACACTCTTCCTTCTCTCTGTGTGTGTGTCCCCTTGCATGGACTCTCGCCCTCACCTCACCCCACGAAGCACACACATAATGTGCCCATTGTATATATGCATGCACACCCATGCAGGCCCGTTGGTGCTCTCTTTTGCACGACACGCACCGCTGCCGTCCTGCCTGGCTGCATGGGCGGAGCACCGTAACTGTTTCTGTTTTGTTTCCATTGCATTGAGTGGGCGACCTCTCTCTCTCTCCCTCTGTGTGTGTGTTTTGCTTTACGGGAGCAATGAGAGTGTGTGTGCGCTGGTCGTCCCACGCCTCGGCTTTTTGATTTTTTATTTTGTTGTGATTGAGTGCGCCCATTTTACTTTTTGAACGGCGGCATGCTGTGACGGCGGACACTTTAATCTTCTCTTCTTATATTCTCATATTGTTTCATTGTTTCAAAATTGTCACCCTCGTGTATTCTTGTCGGGCCACTAAGTTTGTATACGCCTGCCATGCGTCAGTTGATCCACGTCACCCCGCAGCCACCAGCGCTGCTGTTACTTCTGCTTGTGATGATGTCTGTGATGTGTTGTGCATGCGGGTGCCTTGCTGTCACCCTGACGTGCCCTTTCTCCCTCTGACAAGGCGATGCGTGTCGCCAGCGCGAAGTCGATCTCGGCTGTGGTGAGGGACGTGTCCTTTTGGAGCAGAGGGTACGTCGCAGGCATACACCGTCATTGTGAGGAATGCATGGGCGCCTATCTGCGTCGATGTGTCGACAAGGGACCTGGATGATGCCAGGAAGTATTGCAGCTCAGAGCGGCATTACGCAATGAATTCATTGGTGGCAATTGTGACTGTAACGATGACGTTTTTTTCTACTGAGAATAGGGAAAGTTTTCTTTTCGTTATACGTTGCGGCCAATATTCGTTGATAGGCTGAGGACTGTCCGTAGAAACGTGGCCAGTTTTTCCGTCCCGAACGGTGCTATCGTGCGAGAGGGGTTATCCCACAGCATGTGCGGCAGGGCCTCCCGTGGACCGTCAGGCGGCTGAGCGGCTGGTGGTGGTTGCAGTAGCGGAGTGGCTGGAGGGCTATGGCTGTCATTGGAGCTTGCAGAGGTGCGTCGTCCGTTTTTTGCTCGTTGACACACTTGACATTTTCGGTATTGACCTGAAAAGTTTGCACTCCGCGGCGATGCATCGCTCAGCCCTCGTGCCGTTTCGTCTCCAACAGGCGTCATCACGTCCGAGTTCGTGCTTCGTGGCGTGGATCCAGGCGGACATCGGTGGTGTGCCAGCAGTGCTGACAGGCGGCGGTGGACCAGTCCATAGCTCACCCCTAGCAGCATAGGGAGCAGCGGGATTTGCCGACAACTCTCTCTGTGCGGCATGTGTCCTTCCCGTGGTTGCGGATGGGAGTGGTGTCCGCCGTTTCCCAGGAACTTCGCAGGCTGCCGTCAGAGAGGTGTTGGTCATCGTTCAGTGCGAGCAGCGGGCAGAAGGTGCAAGATGGTGCAGAAACGCATTCAATATTTTGTCGGTACCAGGTGCCACGCCATGCAAAGAGTCGCGGATGGCGAGTCAAGCGCACACGGCGAGAAGAGAAAATCCATATCCCAGTCACCAGAGGCACGCAAGCACAAAGTGTGCAGAAAGCAGTGGGGATCGTAGCACGTGCGACTCGGACAGTGTGACGGACGCGCGGTGTGCCTGCTGCCGAGGCGGAGCGAAGTCGCAGTCCCAACAGTACCGCAGCACAGCCGATCCCAGTGAACGGGGACGTGGTGCCGCCATGCCTCGGAACATCACAGGCCTGGGATCGAGAGGGCACCAAGCTGCTTCGCACGGACCTCTTAACTGCATGGAGAAGCCACCGCGGAGGGCATGACTGCGGTCCTCCCGTTTGCAGAGCACTTCAGCTCGGGGCAGGCTACCTCCTGGTGAGGCTGTGTACACACTGCATGCTACCGTTGCAACACTCGGCCTGCTCCATTCCGTCCGTACTAATACCTCTGGAGCTTTCACGGCTGCCGCGCGGTGTGGTGCGCCTTGCCGCTCGTACGGTGCCTCGGTGCATCTCCAACCATGTGATCACAGAGGCCAGAGGTGTTGCACACGCCGAGGTGGATGCATTCCATTCAGCTTCACGCAGGGAAAAGACAGCATGTTTCCATAGTGGCAGCATTCCTGCCAGTTGCGGGATGCCGTCCTCCGTCCCCGCAGTCTGCAATACCAGAGGGTGGTCCGGGTCCATGTAAACGGGTGGACGTCCAGTGGAAGACACGCAGTACGAGTTGCGCAGTCACTTCGGGAAACGAGACGCTGCGGCCGCTGATCCACGTTGCCTGTGCCGGGTCGTCGGACAGCTCAGAGTCCATGCCGCTTGGGGTGGCGGCGAGGTCCTCTCCTGCCGTCGTGGATGGTGAGCGACCGTCCCGCAGCTCATGGTGTGAATTCAGGTCGCAAATAACCGCTGCGGGGCATAAGCGAAGAATGGTGCTCGCAAAGTGAGCTACGTGTGAAATTGCCAAAGTGAGGCTGCAGAGGTTCACCACGTACATGCTGGGGCTGGCCGGTGGGCACACGCGGAAGGCGGTGGTTTCCAGACAGTTGGTGCCACGAGCGACAGGCGCTCGCACGGCAAGGTGTGGCGCACCAAGAAGGCCACGCCACCGGTACGCCCACTGCAGGCCTGGTGGAGGTCACTGCAGCCAATGAGCCTCGTCGCTGGGGCACTGTGGTGCCTGCACTCGTGGAGAAGAACCATGCCAGGCCGGTGCTGCTACAGTCGAGCAGCAAGGGCAATCCTGAGGGGCGAAGGGCATGAAGGTATGAGCTGCCAGAAAACTACGAGGCCATCCTCATCGAGGCTGCGGCTCCTGCGGACACCACCGCGGCGGGTGATGCCGACGGAGTGACCACAATGAAACGACGACTGTGCGGTTCTGTCAGTCGGGCTGCAGGCAAACCGCCTCGCCGCTCTCCACAACCGACAGGGCGTGGGACCTTCTCGAAGGGTGACGCCGTCGTGGTCCCCATCACGCTCGCAGCAATGCCCTGCCGCAATCACTCCCACACAAAGAGACAAGGAAGTGTGTGTGGATGTGTGCCGAGAGCACAGCGACTGTCATCATAAGAGGAGGCCATCGCGGCACCGTCCGCCACGCGTCAGCACACACCGAGCAACGCACGCACCCGGCAGAGCAAATACATAGGGGAGAGAAGAATGACCCCAAGAGCAGGCAGCACCCTCACGCATGGCGGGCATCGTGCAGCCGCGTCAGACGAAATCCAACCAAATGCAAAAAGCGTCCCACACGCATCCATACAACGGCCCCGTGATCCCACCGTAGGCAGACGCGCGGCGACCTCGCCATTTCAGCACGGGATACGCAATTCGACGCCCCGCCGTCGCCAAGAGCATTCCTGCAGAGCACTGTGCAAATGCTTGTGTGTGTGTGTGCTGAGAAAAAAGAAAAGGAAACACATCAGCACAGCAAGAGGCACAGCTGGATGGCAGCGATACATGCGGTACGGCCAGACCTCAACAATCACGCACGGTGGCAGCACACACCATCCACAAAAAAACAAAACAAAAAAAAAACACGGCGGCAGGGAGTGGCTGTGTGTGTGGCGCTGCGGGTGTCTGCCCGCCCTGGCCGCAAGAAAACAAAACAAGAGGGAAGAAATGTGTGCTCCGCCCCACAGGCCCTCGTCGCACGCCCACACGTCACGGCTCCCTCAGCGCGCCGTTCGTCGCGGCCCCTCCTCATGCGTGCAGCAGGCGAGGCGCACAGGGCCGTCGTCATGAGCGTGTCGGTGGGTGTGCAAGTGGAGCAGTTGGGCGGGAACACACGGCACCCCTCACAGGAAGAGTGCAGCAAGAAACAATTAAAGAGGGAAGAGTAAAAAAGAAAAAACGTCCATAGTGTTTGCCCCCAAAAGCAAAAGAGAATAGGGAAGAGAATAATAATAATAATAATAATAAAAGAATTTTGAAAAAAAGAAAAACATTTAAAAAAAGCAAAAAAAAAAAACTTTAAAACACACAAAAAAGCAAACAGGAAAAAAGTAAATAAGAGTTATTTGAGAAGAGATATTCATTGCCAGGTGTGTGTGTGTGTCGGGGCAGCGGGGGTCGCAAGTGTCCCACGGCAGCCAGTCACTCCTCACAGAGCCGCAAACCCCCACAGTCCCAACAGAAGAAGCGATGGCAGCAGTCTTCTCTCACGCACGGTGCCGGCATCACTGTTATTCCCCTGCGACACATTTCCGAGACTGCTGTTGAGCGCCGTGGCATTTACCTCCCTGATCCGTGGCTGGATCCCTTCCTCCTCCTGCCCATTCGTTCCTCCTCTTGTCTGCATTGTTGGCTCGCCATCAGCAGTAGAACCGCTATCCACAGTTTGAGTTCCATCGAGAGATGTTCCTGACGTCACCTGCACTACGGACTCCTCTTCTGCTGAGGGAGTACTGACAGTGGACACCGCTGTTGTGGATGCACCGCCACTGCCCGCACCTTTACTGCTCCCCATCGACTGTCCCTGTTCCGTCAGCTGTGTTCCGGCAGGAGTAGACGGAGTTTCGGTTTGCTGAGCATTCGGGGTCACCAGAGGAGTGGGAGGCACAACGGAACCAGAAGAAACGGTTGAAGGATCCGACGGCTTCTCTTCCAAAGATGGAGTGGGAGCTTTATTCGGGGTAAGCGCAGTAATCTCTTCAGAGCTCAACGGACAGTTGTACAGCAGGACGTTCGTCACGGTCACAGGCACGTCTTCTTGTTTCCGTGTCTTGTCTCCATCCCCTCCAATGTAGAAGTGCGAGATCTCTTTTGAATCTGTATTTTCCAATCCACATGGGGCATTTCCACCCACACGCTGACCTTCGACGTACGCGGAGCCCTGGCTGCCGTTCCGTCGCAAAATTACCACGTGGTCTTTCTTCGTTGTCTCCGGATCCCAATCGCTGCTGTGCTCCGTAGTTGTCTTGCCACCGCACAGAAACCGCCACTTCTTCTTTTCTTTGTCGTAGGACAGTCCCAGCATTAAGGGATTCTCATCGCCATTCATCTTCGCACCAAGCAAAGGAATGGGAGAACCCTCCTTCGGCACACCGTCGATGGACACCGTCGCCACAAGAGTGAAGTTGTAGTTCGCGAAGTGGTACAGCTGATTCTCCCCTTGCTTGCCAACGGGCCACTCCGCCCACGCTCCCCGGAACTTCACACCATCGGAAGCCTTTGTTGCCCCATCATTCCCCTTTACTTTGGCGTTCACCCCGAGGTACTCGTCACTCCATGTGTTATCAGAGAAGTTGCACGACAAAAAGCCAACCAGCCCATCTGTGACCTTAATATCAGCACTGCAGGCAGTTTCACTTAAACGATCCTTCCCAGCAAGTAAGGTGGAACACAGCTGGGAGACACGTTCGTCCACTTCCTTCCACGTCTTCAGCACCTCCTTCACCTTCTCCAACTGTGCAGTCAGAAGCACAGAGACCATACCGAGTGATGCGTCCTCATCACCGCTCTCCTTCTCGTACAGTGCAATCAACTCATCCTTCTTATTAGCACCACCTCCACCTTTGTACAACAGGGAGCTGGCGGCAACGTCTTCTTCCTCACCGGATACCGGCCCAATATCAACAATGTGCGTGTTGTCCGTCAGCCAAAGATGGAGTACGCCCTTTCCATTGCCGTCCTTACTTGAATACACCGGCAGAGTGATGAGCATCACGTCCCTGTCATCGCCAATCTTCGCTGTGGTGAACCCGCTCCCAACGAGTTCAACCTTTTCACCCTTTTTGTTGCCCCACACGCGCGAGAGTGTCCCGAGTGCCTCCGTCCACGACTTCCCCTTGTCACCGGACTCGTACACCCTGCGGCGGCCACCATCACACGCAGTCATCATCATGAGTTTGTCCTTCTCCCAATTCACGACGGAGGGATCACCGCAGCCATCGGCAGACATCCCCTTCGGCAGCTTCCAACTATTATTATCCTTCGAGTGTAGGATCAGCGAGACAGCCTTTCCATCCTTTTCGTTGCCATCACCCTGGTTCCTCTTCTTTCTCGTCCCTTCCAGCGGGAACACAAGCGTACCGTCCTCCATCTTAACACCCGATCCACCGCTGCCAATCAGCCGCATCAAAGATTCGTGTTGTTTGACTTTATAATTCCACGGGATAACGTAAGTGTCATTCCAGTAAATTCCGTTATTTTCTCCTTCCTTATTACTGACGTTCCCTTTCACCAGCATGAGTCCCCAGCCACCTGCCTGATCATCAGAGGCACCTTCAAAACTGTAATTCCCAGCAAGCATGTAAATATCACTTCCCTGCACAACTGTTGTTGGCTTACTCACATGTATTCTCGTGCCGCTTTTGGTGCCAGCCTGGTCCGCTATACGGCAGGAGCATTCGCCTTGTTCGGACGGACATTCCTCCAGCACTTGTGTCTTCAATTCAGTTGTGTCCAACTCCTTGCTTGCTTGTTCATCAGTCCACTTCAGAAGCTCCGAGGCAATCCCAGTAAAATCTTTATTAGTACCGTCCTTGCAATGCGCCTCGGCAGCGGCAAACACATCACTCCCCACTTTCAAAAGACTGGGAACACGGAGCAAACTCACTGTTTCTTCATCTTTCTTACCTCTCCAAACATAATGTTTACCCTTTGAACATTCCGGGGATGACGCCTCACCAGCAGCCGCAGCTCCACTAGTGCCGCAGCAGAACATCACAAAAAGAGGGGGAGCAGCACCGCAGAATAGAAAACACGCCGGGACATGTTGGGCCTCTGCGGCTCACTCTCCCTTCCTCCCCTCCTCCCTCCGCTGGATCCGGTCACGCGGCGACGGTTGTGTGTGCGGGGTGCCTTCACTGCAGCAACAAGTGAGAGCATATAAATATGTGTGTGTGGGCGGTGTGTGTGCTGTTGGTCCTTTCAAATCCTTCGAATTTCACAGTAGCGATTCGCGCTTGGTCGTAGATTCCTTCCTAGCCTGAGTGTGTTTGTGTGCAAAAAATAAAATTAAAATCTAAAACGCACCAAAAAAGAACGTGGCAGAGGAGTGGGTGGCGCCACCATTCACGGCGTAACACATCCGCTTCGTCGTAACCGCCACAGTAATTACCCTCACCGTCCACAACGGCCCAAAAAATGTGAGGCCACACACAGAAGCAGAGAAGTTGACGGTTGCGCACGGGCCAAGACGCCCTCCGGCAAACGGCACCGACCAACAGACAGAGAGGAGAAATTAAAGGCAAGCAGAATCCCAAGTGCTGCGGGATCCTTGCAAGCACCGCTCCCTCACTGTAGAACCTTTAAAGCGTTCCTCGCTGCAACATCCCCCACCACCCCTCGGTGTGTCGGTGGATTTTCCCGTTCACAGGAAGAAAAACGGCGGGATGCTCCGGCAGTGGTCGAAGACACACAGAGCGCGCCGTCGACGCGATCAACGGGCGCAGACACTCGTGAAGTGCGATCCCACAACCGCGATCCCTCCATCTACTCTCCTGGACGTGGAGGAGGCATAAAATGTCCTCCTCTCTACAGTAGTCCTGAAACGCAAAAAAAATCCGCAGGAAATCCCGTGCAGCCACGGCCTCCTCAGCAGCCCGACAGTCCACGCCGCCGCACCGCTCCTCAAGAGGTCGCCAGGCCCGGTAAGGCAAGCAAAAGGAGAACAGCAATTCGGTCAGGGCGTCCAGCAAAGTGAGGCGCAGCGGTCGGGTAGGCGCGGCCCATCCACGTTCTCCCCTCAACAGACCCACCACACAGTCGAATCACACACCCGGAAAGAGCCGTGGAGTCTAACGAAATAGCATGGTCAATAGCACCTCGTGCTCTCCTCAATGAAGTGTCATGGCACACACGAGGCATCACAGGAAGGGCAAATAGTTGCATTCCATCGGCACAAGCACGGAAGTAAAGCGCGCATAATTTGCCCCTGTGAACTCCCATCCAAATCGTCTCGGCCACTGAGTTTGTGCCGCCGACCCTCAGGAAGGGCTGATGCATCAACTGCCGCTGAACGATCACTCAGCGATGCAACAAAAAGAGCCACCGTCTCTCGAATTCCGTCGTCACCCATTCCTCCCATTGAGGGAAGGGAACGCAATGTGACGGTGTGGGCGTGTCTAGCCGACAGAAATGAAGGAAGTGACTCCAGCCGCGGAACAAATTGGACGGATCCTCCTCCCGAATCCTTCAAAGGGACCGGTCGTTCAGCTGCCGAGGTTGACGGCGCGGAGGACAACACCTTGAATGTGTGGAGCACCGCAGCAACCTGAATATATTCTGCAATATCCGCGGCCAGTTCATGAAAGTACAAAGAAGGGACAGCAAATTCAAAGGGGCGTGTGAACCCGTCAGTGATCACCCGCGCCGGAGGATCGCCACCCCACCCTCCAAGGGCACCTCAACGACGTCAAATATTTCCACCGCATGGCACCCACAACACAATCGCGTGGCATAATGCATCGCCTTGCAGCACCCCATGCAATGCGGCAATCGAAAACCGTCCCGAACACGGCGTGCGAAAAAGGTACTGAAAGAAGGCGCAGCAAATACCCTCCACATCTCAGCAGTTCCAATCATCCAGTAAAAGGCAGGAGCACCAGACAGTACCCACGGACTCACCGAATATGGCATCAAAAGGCAGCGAGATGTCAGACGCCGAAAGGTCCGCATTTCTTCCCCGTGACACTTCCACGGATGAATGCAAATGCCGTGCCCTGCGGCCTCTCGACCGCTTCGAGACAACGTTGCGGCCACATGGCGACGGCTCAATGTGGCTGGCGATCAGATCCAGTCGTCGCGGCAAAACAGTACAGAGAGTAGGGTGGTGAGCCCGCACATTCGCCCCTTTGGTGCCTGCTTCCACTGCAAGAGTGAAACTCGTCTTCCCAACAGCCGCGCTTCGGGTGGCTGAAACACCTGCCCTCACACCGGCGATGACATCTGCAAGCGCCTGTAATTCCTCAACACCGCCCGTCAAAAAAACCAACGGCACTCAAGCCCTGCAGCCAAGCATCCCTCGTAACCATTTGCAAACTCGTTGTCCTGCAGAAAAGCCTAAAAATAAATAACAAGAAGACCGTTCATTGCTGTGAAAGGACAAGAGCACGTTACCTTCATCCTGCAACGGAGGATTATGCCTCCTGCGTAACGCGGCCACAAGTACGCGGTGCACCAACACCGAAGCGGTGGGCATGTTGCCCCATGACCCTCCCCCTCCACAGGGGCCCAAGAGGTGCAACAGACCATCCTCTCACCAAAGAAAAAGCCCAATGGAGCGGGCACTACATTGTGCGGACCACACAACAGAAACACCCTCAGAGAACGAATGCTCTTGAATGCCCTTCAGAAGGGGCCAGCGGGTTGGCCGTGAAGCCAACAAACACCGGAGAGCCGCCTGCCCTGCACGCATCCAATGACGCAATCGAGCGCGCAATCTTACAGGGCACATCAACCAGCCTGTTCTCGTCTCCGTCTGTGCGGGCACAACAGTCCTGCCATCATCCTTCGCCCTCACAAAGTATTCCACAGGGTCCTTTGAGCCAGAGACCACCACACGGCGATATGCCAGCGGATAAGTGCTCTCCATACCGCACAAAATAAAATGTTCCCACGTCGAGGACCGCAGTGAAAACGAGCATAACGATGAGCAACACGAGGGTTGTCTGTGCCCTGACTCATCACAACACTCTGTCCTCCGTTGGTTCAGGCCTCTGCCACACGACGAGGCACAGATGTAACATCACTTACACGCAACAGAGTGAAATACGCAAGAACAGATTCATGCAGGACGCAACAGCCACCAGCTCGGTCAGCAGCTGTTGTGGTCATATTCTGTAAACCATGATTCACGTCCACAGAGAACTTGTTGTCCAGTTGCACAAACAATTGATGGGCCAAGCAACGTGGGCCCATGAGCGACAACGCCAGTCGATATTAGGCCTTGGAGCCGCCAGTGAGAGCCATTGATTGGAACAAACACCAAAGCCACCAACGGCCAAAAAGAACTGCGACAAGGCATTAGTGCTTCAATCAAAGAACGGATTCGTCTCGTCCAGGAAGAAGAAAGAATAAATAATATTTTTCCTCCTCACGGTGCCTTCCAGCAATAAAACACCATCATGCGATCCGCCCCTATCGGTATTACTCAGGAGCACGAGGCCTCTGCAATGTGTAGAGGGTCATGCAATCAAGCGGATAAGAGACGCTCCACGGTGGCAAACAGACTCCTCCCAGGCAACGCATCAACCAACCGCGAGCAGCATGCCTCTTCATGGACTCTCCGTTTTGGTTCCAACCGAGACGGAAGGCCTTCGTCGCTCAGCACCAACCCCGCGTTGCGAAGTGTCGTCAGATAAAACAAGTGAGGATGACAGAGTGCATCATCGGGGAAATCGCCCTCAAATGTGGGAAACGGCATCGCATCCGCCGGAAACAGGTGCGCATGATGTCCCTCCACGTCAGCCGCGCAGCCTGTCGGATGAAGGAAAATTCGGTGAAACGGAAGTCAGCGCACTCACCTCCACCCCAGGCAGTTTTATCAGGAAGATCGAATCATCAATTCGGGGCTCCACACTTCTTGAGGGATATCGTGACGCTCTGACACGTCCACGTGCATTTCCACACAACGTCCTACTTCCCTTTCCCCCTCTGCATGCGTCCGCATCGTCTCTTAAGCCACACCCAGGACAGATTAGGTAGCATGTGGCACCTGGTCAGCCAGCGCCATTCCATTCCTTAAAGCAAGGAAGCTGAAAGCCTCAAAATCACTGGCCATCAATCAGTGATGCCGTTGGCACAGGACCTCCTCGGGCCAACGCCACACACTTGTTCCGGAGTACATTTTATCCCATGCCTCGCTGGCGCCACCCTCAGCATCCCCTACAGGTACACCGTGCATTCACTCCCAAAATACGGGTGTGGGCCACACCTCAAGAAAACTGCACAATGCGCCCGCAAACTGCTCGTTGAAAGTTGTCATTGTGTTGGGTGTCAGGGGCAACGCACTCACACCTCGCGGCTCCTCAGGAGATCAAAAAAGATAGCAAACAGCATTCAATTGGGATGGACTTCGCAAACCTCTTGCGACTTTTGTCCGATGGGATGCTTCAGTGCATATGAAACCTTGACCGCGGGACGGAATGCCTATGCGCTCTAAAAAAGTAAGCAGGAACTCACGGGAGAAGGATACATAATATAGCGGAAGCAAAATGCCACGAATAAAAAAGAACGGTAGAAAAATTATATGGAGGGATATACATATGAAAATAGGCGTTGATCAACGTGTAGATATATCGATATGGGTATGAGCATAAAAACGATACTTTATTCATTGATGCATCTGTATAGATATGGATGTATCCCTTCGTTTCCCTAAAATTTGACAGATTGCTTGGTTTCCTGATTTATTGAATTGCCATTTTATTGGCTGCACATGTATGTAGATAGGCATTTAGATGTCAGTACTAATATCTATTCAGCGCTGTTGATATATATATCTGCTACTATTCCTCGTGTCTTCTCAAATAAATACGAAGGTCCACACGCCAGCCACCATCGCAGAGCACGTCCGCCCAACGATCGGAGATGTAAAAGAGAGCCCGGCACCCAAAGTGGGAGCCGCAGCGGAGGCCGTGAAGCACACACCACCGCTACGCACCCGCCCCGGTGACAGTGCGGTGGCTCGATGATCCGTTGCCGCCAAGAATCAATAAAACA